CAACATGAGCGTGAAGCCAGAGAACTTTAAACTCTTGTCTCTCGATTGGGGCACAACTAAGTAACCAACTATGGAAATATATTAGTAATATTGATATTTGTTTTCATTATAACCTTTGTTATGTCACTAAAAAAGTACTTTTATCATGTTTGTTATTCATATTGTTATCATTAAAATTATGAATGAATGTAAGTTAATGTAAGTTAACACATTGATATCAGTAATAAAAGAGCATTCCATGTTCTCTGTTTTCCTCATGTTAGAAGTCAGGCTGGTTGGTGGTTCTCGCTGCTCTGGGAGAGTGGAGGTGCTTCATGGAGAGACCTGGTCCACAGTGTGTGATGCTGACTTTGACCAGCAGGATGCAGAGGTTGTGTGTCGAGAGCTGGGCTGTGGGCTTCCTGTGGAGGTGCTGGGAGCAGCTGCTTTTGGCAGAGGGGAGGGTCAGGTGTGGTCAGAGGAGCTTCAGTGTAGAGGCAACGAGTCTCAGATTCACTTCTGTCCAACATCATCTTCACTCAAACACAACTACTCCCATGACAGTGATGTGGGTCTGGTGTGTGCTGGTAAGCACTGAATGTACTTTAACAAATGTCTTATTTCTAGTTTCTTCGGGTCTGTGTAGGTATATTGTTTTCATTTATCAAGGTACAAACAATGTAAATATGCCCTTAAAGGTACAACAGTGGTTGTTTCAAGGCCCAACTGTGTACCTTAAATATCTTAGCTTACCTTCATACGTAAAGTTTTTAATTGGAGTTTCACTGACTAACTAGCATTAGCATTACATGCCAGCTATAGTGATTGTTAGCTACATAGAATTAGGCAAGATTTTTCTTTCTAGCTGGAGATGATCTATGTGTGAGTTTTGCTGGCAGAGTTACATTTACACTTGATCTGTTTTGCAAATGATGTGATGTTATCTTTGCACTTCTCTATTAAATGTTGAATACAATTGCTTTATTTAACAATTGTATGTATTTAACATTCACAGCATGAAGTAGATCATTAGGGGGGTTCCACGATTGGGGTGCCATTTAACCTTCATAGCTGAAAAATGTAACACTGATTTTCAACAGTGAATCTAAGAAAACATGTATTTAACTACTCACAAAATGTGTAAATCCATCCCAGGAACATATAAACTTTTTATTAGCTCTCTTATAAAATACTGACACCAAATCAGACAGGCTTGAAAGTAACTCACTTTTAGCATATAATTACTCAATACATAAAATGTAGTTAACAACAGCATCCACTACCAGCAGCAACTTTCAGAGTGTATCACAGAATCACAATATAACTGAAACTAAAGAAAAGAAAAAATAGAAAATGTACTATTCTATTCCAGTGATCTAAAGGAACTATGTTTTCCAACCTACAGGGTAGAAAGGGCTACTTTAAAAAATGTATACCATTACAGATTACTGACTATCTGTTGAAAAATGTAATTGTGACCTAAAGATAACTATATTAAAGTAATATAATCTGATGACTTTCCTTTGCTTTGGATTAACTGTCTCCTTGAACTTCTATACTTAAGTAAAGACAAGAGAACAACAAAAGGCAAAAATAAAAACTGCACTGTTTTTTGAAACAGAATAATAGATTATATTGTGCCTCACACAAATGGTCACTGATTTCATGTTTAGTGAAACAGCCAGCTAAGTGGAGTAATATAGGGATGTTTTAAACAAATTACTACAAATTTGTACATGCACACTTGTCAGCAGTGAAAAAAGGTGACAAGGTTCAGAAATCAAGGCCACAGGACAACAGGAAAATGAAGGAAGATTAAAAGTGAACACAGGGAAACAAATAACTGCTGAAGTTCATTGAGCTCAACATGCAAATGCAATATTGTTACAAAACTGTACTGCTCTCTTGTGATTTTGCCTTATTTGTTAAAAACCGGTTGCTTACCATACAACCTCAAAAGATCAATCTTCCAGCCCTGCCAGAGGGAGGTGTGACAACAATAATTATGTAGACAGACAATTTTAAAAACTCTGAATGACCATCATTTGTGTTCTCTCTGATAAAAGGCTGTACTGGCTCACAAGGTTTCATGTTGGGGCATCGTGCTTGGATGTTTACAATTTGTAGACACTCCCTAATCAGCTCTCAGTGGTTTCAGTTCAAAGAGATCAACATGTTCCATGAGTTTAAAAAGGCATTCACTTCCCTTTAAGAGGGAGCTGATTGTCTTAGTTACAAATAATGACCATTTACACAAATGAACATTTTGCTCTCATCATTCAAAAACTATTGGAGAAGGAACTTGTTTATATGAAAACTAAACTGACTTCACTGCTCACGAGACTGCACTCTCTTTTCACATTTCAGAACTGTTAGGTAGGGAGCACACACTCTAGTTAACGCAAAGATGAAGCAGTAGACGCACACTGTAAGCCCGGATAAGTTGAATTTACTTAAAAGATTTGAGGAAACCGGTTGCCTTAAAAAAATGAAGTAATGTGTAATGAAAACTTCAGTTAGAATAACTATAATTTTTGAGTTAGGCTAACATAAACATACATTTGCGCAACTCATAAATTCTAATTATTTTAATTTAATGTCTTGAAATTGCAATTTAACTATATGTTTCATTAGGCAATTGAGATTTTCTTTCTATTTAAGTGATATTAACCACTTTGCCAAACCCCGAAGGATTAACCTTTACTGTGAACATGGTCACTGACCAACGCAAATGCCCACTCATCAGCAAAGAGAATGACAACCTTCATTCTTAGCTAACAACACAATGTCAGGCAGCTGAGTAAAGCATATGTAAAAAAAACATTCACCTGACGAAAGGCAACCTGGGTGGAACAAAAGCACACTGACGGTGAGTAAAACAAAGGAAAGAAACACTCAGTATGCAAATAGATGGAGCCAGGAGTCAATGGGAAAGAAATATATGTTTTATCTAATTAAATTGTGTTAACAAAACAAATATGTAATTGTATTTCACAGCTTACTTAGTTTCACTCAGTTTCACACATTTGTTCAGAAACTTTAATGAGAAAGAAACAATTAAAACCAACAGAAATGTCATTTTTTGAATATGGGGTTTCAAAGTTGCCATAGCAACAGACTAAACTAAATAGCAAAAAATTAATTCAACTCAAAAATGTCATTTGGGTGTACAAAATCATCAAAAAACATTCCCTTAACTTAAAATTGTTGAGCAATGTGTGGGATATACTGAGTTTTATGTACAACTGACTTAATTTATTTGAGTTAAAACAAAATGCGGGTTTACAGCGCATAAGCGTGCAGATCTTGTCTGCCTAGAAGGCGAACAGCCATGAAGGCAAAGGCATCATATAGAACAAGAAAAGAATACGCAGTGTTGCTACTGATTAACCTCTCCTCCATCTTGGATTTTCACTTGTCTTCTGTCTGTGTCCGCCTATCGTTTCTATTGGTTGATGTGCCTCCACATTAGAATCCATTGCAGCAAAAGTTGAAATAGTTTGAACTTTTTGACGATGGAGCATTTTTTTTTGTTGTTGTTTTTTTCCATACAGGCACATTTCTAGTCCAACAAAGATAACGCCTCTAGTTTGTAGGCACCCTTAATGTTAGCTCACTCAGCATTAACATCTGGCAAGTTAACATTTGCAAAAGCTAAATGTATAAGTCAAACTGTAGAATTTCATGGAATCAGGCCATATATAAAAGCAGAGTTTAATGACTGGTACAAATATCTTCAAGAAAACACTGCAGATCTCAGTTCCGGCAATAAAAATAAAATACTTTTAAAGGTTCTGTTGATGAGCTGAAAAAAACATCATGAATCGTTGTTGTGGGATTCTTCAGGAATCTGATCTGGCAGCAGAACCCTCCTCCCCTCCTTTTCCCCAAGTTAAAAACTCTTCAAATCTACACAATTCACTGGACCGGTTTAGCATTAAAAATGGGGAATTTTGACAAAAGGCAACAAGGCTGCAGGTTTGTGGTTTGAATGTAATGTATTTACATTACAGGAAATACCTGTAATCTGATTGTTGTTTTTCTGTAACTGTAATGAATTATAATTTCCTTTTTCATATCCTGAGTACGGATGCAATTACATGTATTCCATCACTACCATGTAGTGTCAACCTATAATGGATGACTTTTGAAAAAGGATATTGAAGCATGAGGTGTTAAGTGTGAACATGTGGCCAAATAAGAAAGATCAGGTAAAGTAAGCATTTACAATATCTGTAACTGTGAACCAGTTACACACAGCTATGCTCAATCTGAAACACTTTTGACATTTTTGCTTTTCCAGGTTTTTACGATTGCTTGCACACTAAATTTAGAAATAATGCATATTTAGAGTACAGAAGTCAGTCCAAGTCATTCTCCGGCCGGGTGACCAGGGTCCTTTCTGTATGGAGGTTGCCTGTTCTCTCCGTGTCTGCGTGGGTTTCCTCCGGGTGCTCCGGTTTCCTCCCACAGTCCAAAGACATGCAGTGTGTGTGTGTTTGTGTGTGTATTCAGTCCAAGTCACATTTTGTAAAGACAGTATTCAATATCAGATCTTCAAAAGAAACACCACTGATGCTTATTTTTAAATCAGCTGCATATAGCAAACATGCTTGTTAGATCAACCATAATAAACCAAATAAAAAGGACCATGATTTTTCAGTCTACTCAGGCTTTTAGCAGAACTCAGTAACACTCAGATAAATCTTCACATTGATTTATCTGTCTACTCTGGCTTTAGCCAGAATAACGTTAGGTAAAAAAAATAACAAAACAAAAAAAAAAAACTTTTTTAAACATATTCTAAACAGAATATATTACATAAACACAACACTTGATTGGTAAGTTTACAATTAATCATGTAAGTGTCCAGATAAAAGTATATATACATGCCGCTTTCCCTCCTCCTAAATTTAAGAACTTATCTTTGGACATTTCAAAAAGTATTGCAGTGTGGATAAAATCAGGGTCAGGACCCAGAATCTTCAGAGCCATCCAAAACAGCAAGTGAGGCACAAAAGATGCCTAGTCGGCAGACCAGCACCAAATATGGCCAGCTAATCCACAGCACACTCCAGTCAGAGGGCAAGATACCCAAAGATCAGAAAAGGGTCAATATAGAGGTCCTAGATATAGAATTTAATGTAGCTTCAATTTTATTTGACTTGATTTAAAAAAACACAAAGATAAAGTAACTTTGCAGGATGTACATGTGATGAAGTAGCATATAGAGCAAAACCTTTGTTTTTGTTTTTTTCTTTCTTTCTGTCTCTCACTTGTACAGGGAGTGTGCGGCTGGTTAATGGGGGCAGTCGCTGTGCTGGGAGAGTGGAGGTTCTTCATAGAGGACAGTGGGGAACAGTGTGTGATGATGGCTGGGATATGAGAGACGCTGCAGTGGTGTGTAGAGAGCTGCGCTGTGGAGAGGCTGTAGATGCACTGAGTGATGCTCACTTTGGTCTAGGATCAGGTTCAATCTGGATGGATGATGTGGACTGTAGTGGGTCAGAGTCCACACTGAAGATCTGTAGATCAAGAGGATGGGGAAAACACAAATGTGATCATTCTAAAGATGTTGGAGTCATCTGCTCAGGTGTGCTGCAATGTTTTCATATATCATTAAGGATTGAAAACATAGTATATGCTTATGCAGGCCTTGGTAGTTAAAAAGAATTAAGAATTATCCAGTGCATTTTAATTAAAATAAATCTGAATAACCACGTTCTCCATCATAGGAATATGTCACTTTGTTTCTGTTCTCTCATAATATTTTAGGAGTCAGGCTGGTTGGTGGTTCTCGCTGCTCTGGGAGAGTGGAGGTGCTTCACGGAGAGACCTGGTCCACAGTGTGTGATGCTGACTTTGACCAGCAGGATGCAGAGGTTGTGTGTCGAGAGCTGGGCTGTGGGCTTCCTGTGGAGGTGCTGGGAGCAGCTGCTTTTGGCAGAGGGGAGGGTCAGGTGTGGTCAGAGGAGCTTCAGTGTAGAGGCAACGAATCTCAGATTTACTTCTGTCCAACATCATCTTCACTCAAACACAACTGCTCCCATGAGAGTGATGTGGGTCTGGTGTGTGCTGGTAAGCACTGAATGTACTTTAACAAATGTCTTATTTCTAGTTTCTTCAGTTCTGTCTAGGTATATTGTTTTCATTTATCAAGGTACAAACAATGTAAATATGCCCTTAAAGGTACAACAGTGGTTGTTTAAAGGCCCAACTGTGTACCTTAAATATCTTATCTTACCTTCATACGTAAAGTTTTTAATTGGAGTTTCACTGACTAACTAGCATTAGCATTACATGCCAGCTATACTGATTGTTAGCTACATAGAATTTAGGGTTTTTTTCTGTTAATTTTCTGTCTGCATCTCTCTGGCTCTGCATGAATACACTAACTTAATTAAGTACATGTCCTTGTATCTACACTCATTATCCATTTTATCTCCACTTACCAAATAGGTGCACTTTGTAGTTCTACAATTACAGACTGTAGTCCATCAGTTTCTTGGCATAATTTGTTAGCCCCCTTTTACCCTGTTCTTCAATAGTTAGGACGACCACAGGACCACCACATTTGGGTGGTGGATCATTCTCAACACTGCAGTGACATGGCATGTTTGTGTGTTGTGCTGGTGTAAGAGGAACAGACACAGCAGTGTTGCTAGAGTTTTTTAAACACTGTGTCCACGCACTGTCCACTCTTTTAGACACAGGTGTAAAGTCAGAGATGATACCTCACCTGTTGCTGCACAGTTTGTGTTGGTCATCCTTTAGTCCTTCATCAGTGTTCAGAGGATGTGGTTGGTGGACTCCAGCAGTGACATTGAAGAGTTTAAAAACTCCAGCAGCACTGCTGTGTCTGATCCACTTGTACCAGCTCAACATACACTAACATCTCACCACCACATCAGTGTCACTGCAGTGCTGAGAATGATCCACCACCCAAATAATTCCTGCTCCATGGTAAGTAAGTGTAAGTAAGTACATTTTATTTATATACCACATCTATTCCTTCACCAGCACAGGCCACTGAACGGCTAATAAAAGCCAATCAATAAAAAAGCTTGGATTTAAAAACAGTCACTGAGGATGTCTGTCTAATGTCAAAGAGCAGGCAGTTCCAAAGCTTTGATGCAGCTACAGCAAAGGCCAGAGTTCAAACTGAGACCTTAAATATAAATATACTGAAGGAGCACATTGTTTTGCATATGGTCTGTGTGTGTGTGTGTGTGTGTGTGTGTGTGTGTGTGTGTGTGTGTGTGTGTGTGTGTGTGCATATATTCTCAAAATTTGACTCAGTCAAAAATCACCCTGAAAATTATTGTAAGAAACTGCTGGTCATCCAGTTTTTCATGTGTTTGATACTCTCATTGGGACTTCTTCTAGAACAAATGTAACTTTTTCCAATTACCAAATTTTAAGGGAAAGTACAGTTATAAATCATCTGCATACCTCAGATGATATATTATGCTGACATATACCATGTCATAAGGAAAGCATATATACTGAAAATAGAGCAGGCCCCAAAATAGACCCTTGTGGAATGAGAGAGAGAGAGAGAGAGAGAGAGAGAAACAAAAAGGGACAAACAAAACAAAACGTATGTCTAAGGGACATAACAATGGGGCCTTCAACATGCTGAATGAAGCAAATAAAACCAATAGGTAATAAAACCAATAAATGGTAAGATTCACTGACCATGGGCTCATCACCCAAGATCAAAATTCTTTTATTCATTACAGATAGGAAAGTTAAAAAATCACTCAGAAAATTTCTTGTTTAATTTAGGTGGCCTGTAAATGAGAACACAAATCACTGGATACACAGATTCAATTTTAATAGTTTCAATTTTAAAATTCAAAGTTCAATTTTAACTCAAAGCTAGTAAAACACAGTGGTTGTATTCATTCCTGAAAATGAACCACTCCACCTTTTCTGGTATTCTGTGAGAAGTTTAAAAAGCTACAGCCTATTGGACTTAATTCTGAGATTGGACTTAAATCATCAGCAGCCAACCACGTTTACATTAGGAATAAAAGGATCTAGCTCTCAAGGCATAAAAAGTCATTAAAGATAAGAGATTTGTTTGAAACTAATCTCACATTGGTCAGAGCCATTTTGGTAAAAATAGAATTGCTGTACATCAGTGGTGTGTGTTCCAGCGGTTGATGATTATGGTGAACAATACCTCCTGTCCTGCGAGGCAGCAGTCTCTGCCTCAGTGGACAATTGAGGGATGCTGTGGTTGGACTGAAATAAACCAGTGTAAGGCAGGTTCGAAACACCAGAAAATCTTCACATGCCAGCCCACTTGCCCTGCTTTCTATGACACTTCCTAAATTGCAGGTTTCAGCAAGGCTGTAGCGGGACAAGGCTACTGAAGCACCTGACTTCCCCCTTACCGTAAGACACAGATATCTTAATTAAACTCAAGTGAGGGTTTACCTGCGGTCCAGGGAACAGAATCGAATTGTGGTCTTTGCATGTGCACACAATCACCAGAGATGACTTTAATAAAGGGGTATTTATTGATAGAGGTATATAAGCACTAAATAATGGATTACAAAGGTATATAGGCACTAAATATTAGATTACTAGTTATGTAAAGAAACCAGGAGTATTGAAGTCACCGAACACACATACTGAAGTTAGCTGATTCTCTAAATTATGTGGCTTTTGAGCAGTGAGCAGAATAATACCAATGTTAGCGTAAAACTGCCCTCAGTTTGAATAAAAGGGAAGCAAAGCTACAGTGACTGAATCACAAAAAAGTAGCCATGTGGGTGAGTCTACGACCTGGGCGTCTCAGATAGAGCCGTGGTGGTGCGCTTGCCATGTTGAGGACAAGAAGCTGCCTGCTCGCCGTGGGCTAAAGAATGGTCCGCGGGTCGGAGGCGAGGCCAATGAAGATGTGAAACTCGAGGGTGCCACATCTGGCTGGACCAGAAAGACGAGGCAGCCCTTCCAGCTTGCTTGCAGGGGGTCGCTGGAGCAGACTCTTCTGGTGGATTTCAGTCAGCACTGTGTTTGCTTCTTTTTCTGATCTGATCTAGGTTTGCAGTGACCTATCGTTGCCAAATAGACTTTTAACATGAATCAACAAAACAACAATAAACGGCAAACAAACATAACTAGATGCAGCTTTTTTAACAGTCTGGCAGTTACCAACACTTTAAGATTACTAAGTAAATGAAAACAAAATGAACTGAACAAAGACAAACAAACTGAGACACAAAACAAAACATCTAAAACTTAGATCTGCAGAACTAAAGTGCAAAAGAGAAGGAGAGCAGGCTTCTTTCCTTGTCGTTTCTTTATGGTTACATGTTTGCTCTCTCGCTCCCTTCAGCCAACTGGCAAACTTCCTGTTTTCTGGCTTTAAGGAAAGAACTTTGAGGGGCAGAGTTAAGGTGGAGCTAAGGCGGAGAAAAGGTTTTTGTTTGTTTGTTTGGTTTCATATAATGAATGTGCAATTTCTTTTTCTGCTGGGCTGCTGAAGTTTCGTTACATGATACTTGAGAGATTCTGATTGTGGTTAACACTGAAGTAAAAGAATATTATAAGCATGCAATTTCATATAAAACATTACTGCTTCCATAGTGACTATTACAAATCTAAACATATTTCATACCTTGGTTACATACAATTACTTGAATCTTTAACCATTCTACTTACATAAGAAATGTGACTACTTAAGACAGAGGAATGAAATAGCTAAAAGACAATTTTGAAGTTATGACTCACACTACCATTTCTATACAATGCTTAAATGAAAGGTTACAGTGTAACTCAGAGTAAAATAAAACGAGTATATTATCACCAATATTTCTGTAGATATGCTGGCAGAAACTGTATGCTTAAAGCATATATATAGTCAAACAAGCTACAAATCCTATGACCCTACTTCTAATTAAACTACATGAAGACTTGAAAGAAGAGCAGATATATAACATTAAAACTATTATTCAAAGAAACATGGATTGTATATTTATCAAACAAAAGAAAAGGAAAAAAATGATTAAATGAATTAACACAGTGAACACAGTTACAAATGATTAAAGATCAACACTATAACCTAGATTAATGGAACAGGGTTACAATTCAAATATCAAAATAACTTGTAAGTATAGAGAGTTTGGTATTAATTCACCTTTGGGAAGGAATAATTAATTCATGTCACAGTCACAGAGGTGTTCTTCCCAGTTTGATTAAAGAGAGTCATTTGATTTAACACGATCAATTATGATGTTCCATAGTTTGCCAGTGAGCACAAAAAGAAGAGTTTTTAAAGTTCAGTCTCTAGCAAAGCCCTAAAGGAATTTATGATGCTAAAGAATTTCTAAGGCATCTGCTAAGGGACTTGTGAGGCGCAGTAGCCCCTCACTCAGGGCTGGTTGGTGGTGCCATCTTGGCCTCTGTTTTAGGCTAGATGTCTCTTTTTGTGGGGGAAAGTGAGATGTGTGTGTGTGAGAGGGAAAGGAATTTTCAAAAGTCATAATTTATGTCCAAAGCTCTCTTCAGGATGTTTAAAAAGGTGGCATGAGGTTCACTTAAGTTGCACTTAAACTGTTAGTCAAAAGAAAAAAAAGAAAGTCTTCAGACCTCTTGGTCAAAAGTAGATCTGTTTGAGGTGAGAAGAGGAGGGGGTTGAAAGTCTGTTTAGCAACCTGAGTCGTACATTTAGCTGTTGGTTCTCCTTGCAGACATCCTGCTGCCTGCAGATACAGATTTCACTTTGTCCCAAAAAAGTTCTGATCAGTTTATAAATTAAAATTAGCCAAGTACACTACAAGGCAAACAGCGGATACACACTGGATCCATTGAAAAAAAAAACATGGATGTTAAAATATTCGCCAGTCTTATACACACATGCTTTCATGACTGATTGTAGACTAGAACTATAAAGTGCACCTATATGATAAGTGGATCTGATAAAATGGACAATGAGTTACAAGCTGCAAGGAGGTATGCTTAATGAAGTGGCTGGTCAGTGTATATTCATCTCTTTCTCTCTTTTCATGTCATTCCCATTTTTCTCCCATGTCCAGTCAGTGTGAGGTTGGTGGATGGTGGCAGTCACTGTGCTGGGAGAGTGGAGGTTCTTCATAGAGGACAGTGGGGAACAGTGTGTGATGATGGCTGGGATATGAGTGATGCTGCAGTGGTGTGTAGAGAGCTGCGCTGTGGAGAGGCTGTAGATGCACTAAGTGATGCTCACTTTGGACCAGGATCAGGACCAATCTGGATGGTTGATGTGGACTGCAGGGGGTCAGAGTCTACACTGAAGAAATGCCATTCAACATTATGGGGTAAACATGCCTGTAATCACTCTAAAGATGCTGGAGTCATCTGCTCAGGTAAGCTATTCAAATCTTATTACCAGAATCAGTCAAGTCTCCTTTTCTGATCAACACTGATTTGTTTTCTTTCATCCATCACTGAATTCATAATTTATTTTTTAATCTTTCACCGTAACATTTGCAAATACACATATAAGTCAGTGAAACACTAAAGGAAACATGAACATAAAGTGTCTTAGTAAGTTGTTTTCATACTCATTAAGCCATTCAGTGACCTCTCATGCCCTGCTGGAAAAGGTCACTCCAATCAGAACAAAAAAATGTTTCTTTATTGAGTAAAGGTGATAATGGACAATGAGTAACCTCTACCTGTACTGATTTGCAGTGTACCCTCCCTCTGAGGGGTCAAGCAGAATCAAAGCATGCCAGCAAAATCCCCCTACTGCATTACATAACCAGCAGACCCCTTCAATGTAGGGACTTCAGGGGCTGTTCAAGCCAGTATAGTTCTCTCTGTGTGAACCACACATGCACTTGCCCACTTGTGCACAATATGCTGAAGGACTTATCTGGCTTTATTACTTTTTTCTACATCTCTTTAGACCAGTGCCTATGATTCATGTGTCTAAACTCACAAATGTGCCTTCGTCTTTGTAATAAAGAGTTTATGTTTTGCAACTCTGCTATAATGTCCTTCTTTATGTTTTTGTGGGGGTGGATTGTTTTTGCTGACACAGTCTGATCACATCCTGCATTGACATTCTCAGTCACCTGAGAAACTGCTGCACTTCTGTTTCTCCTTACATATTGCAATAATGTTTGAGAATCAAAGTCATTGATGTGTACTTTTGACTACAATTCCCAATGCAGTTTATTTATATTATTCTCATAGACCTCATAGATTCCTGTTGAAACACTAGTCAGATAAATAATCTTTGGGACCGAAACTGCTGTCATTCATACCTCAATAATAAACCCTCTTTCAAAGTTACTTACATTTTGTCCTCTTGCCATACTGATTGAGAGGCTAACTGGACTTGCTCAGCCTTTTTATACAGGCCATTAAGAAAGGTAGGACTTACACTGCCAGGGTGGCTGGTGCCTTACAGAGAGGTGATCCAGCAACTGAAAGGTCACTGGTACAAATCCCAGGACTGATTGAGTATACTTGAAAATGCCCTTAGGTAAAGCAATGAACTTCCATCTGCTGTGCAGGTGATGCTGTGCTGCTCCCAGACTGAGTATACTTATGCAGCAAAATGTCAAGTTTTTCTTGTGGAATCAATGAAGTACATTAACTAATTGTATCATACAGAATACCTGTCTGGAAGCACTTGCACTACTTATGTTTCTCTACACATTTATTTTATGTTTTCTTTTAATTTCTCATCTGTCTGTCCACTGATGAACCAAAACATTATGACCACTCACAGATGAAATGAATAAAGTTGATTATCTTGTAAGAACAGCACATGTTAAAGTCTGGCTTGAGTTAGTAAGCGAACATTTCTTGTAATTGGTGTGTGGGATGCAGGAGAATTGAACAGTTGTAAAGACTTAAACAACTTTGACAAAGGCCAAATCATTATGGCCAGGCAACATTATGGTCAAGGCATCTCAGGCTTGTGGGGTGCTCCAGGTGAGCAGTATTGAGTACCTAACAAAAGTGGTCCAAGGATGGACAAAGCACTAACTGGTGATATGGTGTTGGGTGCCCAATACTCATGATGCACAACGGCAACAAAGGCTTTCCTGTCTGGTCTGACCTGACAGAAGTGCTATTGTGACCCAAGTCACTAAAATTTTTAATGATGGTTATGGAAGTAATGTATCACAATACACAGTATGTCACACACTGCTGCATAGTACCTACAAGGGGCAAGCAAGGATTGAAACTGGACGTAGAAGCAATGGAAGAAGGTCGAGTACCAGGTACACTCCTTCATGGCAGTGGTGCTCCCCAATGGCATTGGCCTCTTTTAGCAGGAAAATGTACCCTGCACTCAGGGTATCGTTCAGGAATGGTTTGAGGAAAATGCTGAAGAGTTCAGGGTATTTCCCTGGCCTCTAAATTCTCCAGATTTCAGTCTGATTATGCATCTTTTGAAAGTACTTGAACAACAAATCTGATATGCGACAGCTGCACCTCACAACTTACGGGATTACAGGATCTGTTGGTGTCAGATACCACAGGATCCATTCCTCGTGACAGCATATTAGACAGAGGGTCATAATGTTTTGACTCAATGGTTTTTTGTTTGAAATTTTTTACTGAAGTCGTTTAAGGTTCATCCATCAAATAATTAATCATCATTAACCCTTATCACTGTTAAATGTTCTCTTTTCTCTCTTCATAATATTTCAGGAGTCAGGTTGGTTGGTGGTTCTCGCTGCTCTGGGAGAGTGGAGGTGCTTCATGGAGAGACCTGGTCCACAGTGTGTGATGCTGACTTTGACCAGCTGGATGCAGAGGTTGTGTGTCGAGAGCTGGGCTGTGGGCTTCCTGTGGAGGTGCTGGGAGCAGCTGCTTTTGGCAGAGGGGAGGGTCAGGTGTGGTCAGAGGAGCTTCAGTGTAGAGGCAACGAATCTCAGATTTACTTCTGTCCAACATCATCTTCACTCAAACACAACTACTCTCATGACAGTGATTTGGGACTAGTGTGTGCTGGTAAGAGCTGCATTCACAGTTAATCTGAGTTGTTGCTGCAGTACCTTACTTAATAATTTTTATGTTGAGTTCAAATGATTTTGTCTATATTTCTCTCTCTCACTCTCTTTCTTCCTCTTTTCTACAATCTATTTTTCTTTGCATCATTTAAATAAATAGTAGCATTGAGGAGTTAAGTTTTTTTCATTTTCTTTCTGCTTTCTGCTCTCTCTCTCTCTCTCTCTCTCTCTCTCTCTCTCTCTCTCTCTCTCTCTCTCTCTCTCCATCTCTGTTGTATAGACAGTGTGAGGTTGGTGAATGGTAGCAGTCGCTGTGCTGGGAGAGTGGAGGTTCTTCATAGAGGACAGTGGGGAACAGTGTGTGATGATGGCTGGGATATGAGAGATGCTGCAGTGGTGTGTAGAGAGCTGCGCTGTGGAGAGGCTGTAGATGCGCTCAGTGATGCTCACTTTGGACCAGGATCAGGACTGATCTGGATGGATGACGTGCATTGCAGGGGATCAGAGTCCACACTGAAGACCTGTTCATCATCAAAATTGAGCAAACATAATTGTGATCATTCCAGAGATGCTGGAGTCATCTGCTCAGGTAAACTGTGTTCAACTTCAGAAAGATTAAAATCTTCACATTTTTTTTCTTTATGTTTTTTGTACAGAAAGGCATTGTAGTATTTTTTAACAGTGATGAGAGCAATGAGAGATATTGATTTTGAAGCAATGACAGTGAATCATAAGATGTAACTGTAGTCGGTAACAGCAAGTTACTTGGTAATGCTGAGCTATAATTAACACACATTAATAAGCAAAAAAAAAAAGACAGTGTGAGAATCCCTGCTGAATAGTCCAAACACAGGTGGAAGCAAGAATAGACACTGTCACACTGCCCCCTTCCAAGGGTCCCCCAACCTGAAAAAGTCCATTACCTATCTGAATGCAAAGAGTGTCACTCTCCTGTAGGCTTGTCTTAGATTCATCTCTAAAACTCAGCGTTACTCCTTTCAGGCACCACAGCAGGTTCTGAGCTGGTCCACTCTCAGCTCTCAGTATTAAGTGGGCTTAATGGTCCAGGCAAGCCATTACTGTACACTGCTCTCACCAACCCACACCCAATAAATTACTAAATAGTTTTTAGCCACTAGCAGCAGGAGTCATTAGCTCTCTTTTGCATAGCGGGGAACCTTTCACTGATTTTGTTGACTTTGACCACCACAGTCAGTAGCAGATCCTTGCATAGGCAATTTTAGCAGTTGCCTAGGTCAGCTATAGTATTTTTAAGAGCCCACCTTAAACAAAGCTGCTTGTTCATTACAGTATATAGTCACTAGTTCATTCACTGGAGAGGACATGCACCACTGAATTGTCAACTGCATAGCATTTACGCAGATGACTTCTTATTTTTTTTACTGCACATTATTTTTTACTGTTTTAGCATATTTTATCATTTACTTTCTGTTCATGCATCTGTAAATAGTGTGTGGCAATACTTGTTCATGTTGCTCTTGTTTTGCTCTTTACTGTGCTTTGTACTGCTGCAATAGAAGAATTTCCCTCTGTCTGTCTGTTTGTCTTGTCAGCCATTAGGTAGATAGATAGGTAGAACTTTTTGATCCTGAAAGAAATTGCAGTGTCACAGTAGCAAAACATACAATTTGGCAGAAACTTCTATATATTAGGAATAAATAAAAATACACATACATTAGAAAGAAATAAAAAATAGACAATAATTACAGTAAAATATGAGAGAACAGGAATAGAAGTATCTATTAGCCTATTCATATCTATTGGCCTATTTATATAAGCATATTAGATAGATTTGTTGTATTTGTATGAGAACAGTTATTGCACTAAATGAGGTAGTTTACAAAAGGATAGTTCCGGTCCTAAAATCTGATTGGCAGAGCTGTGTTTGAAGCTGTGGTAAGTTCCAAGATATACCCACACCTATGACCACTTTACAATAACTGAACTCTGTATTACTGAGCTACAGCACAAAAAAACGTAAGAACCTGTTTCGTGTTATGCCTAAGAATACCCTTCCTGTGATAAAATCACATTAACCCATGGCCTCTCGTGGCTTATTAATTTATTAAACACAATGAGTGTAAACATAACTAGGAGTAGCAGCAGTGTTTACAGTCCAAAGTGTGTAGTGAAAGTGTCATTTCAAGAGAGGAGATATAGTGATGTGATTAGACCTTCCAGGACCGTCTGATGTAATGCTTTGTGTACCACCTGCCAAGGTATGACTTCCTCCAGTGCCGATAGAGGAAACCCCCTCACACTGCTAGGCTGTCCCATTGGGAATGTAGGCCTTCACAGACCTTCATAGTGAGCCACTGTAGCTGACCTCTCTGACCTCTGTCTGGATGTGCTGCTAGCCCTCTCCTGCACATGGCCACAGTGATGGTGAACCAGTAGTCCTGGAAGCTTCAACCCATGTCACCATCACTGCCAGTGGCTTTCGACATATGCAGTAGTTCCTCCCTGCGTTGCTGAGTCATCAGCTGCATTATGGATTGACTCTCTCTGCACCCTTTACACCTAGAAGAGGACAGCTCCAGTGCCATTAGTGCTGGCTTTAATGTATATGTTGAATTTGATGGCGGGACTGGGGACTGATGGCACTAGAGTTGTTGTGAGGGACACAGCTATGGCAAATGTTGGCAAAACCCTTGATTAAACCCCTTTATGCAGATTCAAGTTTAAGCTCATTTTAAACTGAAGTAGACACTTGGGCCAAGACATTCACTCACTTCCAAACTTATATTTCCATCATTTAGGTTCAATTTGAGAACATCAAATACAGAAAAAAGCCTGTTATTTTTGGGCTTTACAATATGTGAATGGATGCTCTACGTTTCCTGATTCACCAGGGTCTTGTAGGACAAAGTACAAAATTTGGAACAGACATATAAAAGTATTCAGGAGCTATACAGCATTTTCCACTAGGCATCTAATAGGCATCTCCAAAGTGTCCATAACCTCCCCAACCTCTCCAAATACAAAAAAGAAGTCTGTCAGAATATATCAACAGTATGCAAAAGTGTTTTGGTCTTTTGTGATAGAACAGACAAAACAAGGCCACTTCAGAATAATATTAATATTTCTTTCAGGGAAATAATTACCCTATCCAAAATGTAAAAATCTACCCAAAACCTTTCCAAAACACCATATTGCTGCTGTCAGAACAAAATCGCCATTTCTGTTGGTCCATTCATCATGAAATTTACAGACAATGTAAATGACAACAGACATTTTAAATGATGTCAAAAAATGACAAAAATGGAGATGCAAGGTTTTGTTCCAACAGCAGTGATATATTGGTCTTGAAAGTTTTTCAGAGGCAACAGCTGAACTCCTGGGGTCCTCTTGGGGCAAAACTGCACTGGAGGATTCTGCTTGTTTTCCTTCAAGGGGTCACACCATCTATCTTCTAGGGCTGCAGGTGTTGGTGGAGCTGTGCATATGTCCACTGGAGTTACTCTGTGCTTGCTGGCTCTGGCACTAGGTTGTCGCCCAGCTGAGGTATATGAGGAGCTTGCAGGTGGTGAAGGCAGTGGTATGGATGCTCTTCTCTTTGCTGGCCTTGTGCTTTTTGTGTCTCTGACAGTAGCCTGACCTCCAGCAGAGGTGTGAGGGGTGTCTACAGAGTGGACAAGGGCAGAAGTTGAAGGCCATGGGAGTGTGACAGAAGAGGTGGGAGAGATGCCATGTGATAGGACAACATGACCAAATGGATAAAATAGGCAACAAATACAATTACATAGCACGACAATTTATAATTGGTACAAATGCAAATTACAGATTGTCATGCTAAATAAAGCTTAATATTGCAGGCTAAAAGTATAATAAACAAATATGCTATCTATGAATGCTATATTTAGCATGACATGCTATATTTTACACTGCCTTGCATGGACAATGTTCAACAACTTGCTAAATCATATTAACTTAATAAGCTACAAGTTTATGCTGACACATCATTACATGCTATATTTTACACTGCATGATAGGTAATGTTCAACGACTTGCTAAACCATATTAGATTCATTGCTAATAGGCTAAAATATTATGCTGTGGAAAATATATTGTAACTTTATATTATTATACATTCTCTCATGCACAAATGTGAATTTAGATGTAGACGTATGTAAGGTTTCAAACACAGTCAGACGCTCGCAGATGTAACTTACAAAAAGGGCTTTACTGGTAGAAACAGAGTTCAAAGTCGTAGTCAATAACCGGGCAGAGTTCAGATCCAGAAGGCACACGAAAGATACAAAGATCAGCCAAGGCAACAATCCAAAAAGGGAAAAGCAGTAGCGTGGTCGAAGGTAAAGTCAAGTGGTCATAATTCAAAATCAGAGACAATAGCAACCAAATCCAAAGGGCAGAGCAAAAAGGGCAGAGACGAGAAAACGATAAGCAAAGGTCATACATGAAATACACAACAATGAATAAACGCTCAGTAGATCACAAACTGGATACAATACTTTGCAACTTTACTAAGCTAAAGTCCGGGTTTATATACTATACTAAGTATATCATATGACACATAACACAGGTGAATCACATCAATACTCTGGAGAGCTAGAGCGCTGATAGGAGCGCGGCGTCACGTGAGACATCATGTGACCTCCCATACGATCCTGGGATATTGAGTCCGTTTTAGTCTTATCGCCTATGGGAAGATCGGGAGTCATGTGATCTCCCAGAGGATTCTGGGAGATTGAGTCCGAATCTACAAGGGGTTTTGGAGGCTGTGTGACAACGTACATGTTGAGAACAGCATCAATTCCATCTACAAAAGCATTCTCTTCCATGTCCATGCTAGCAGCCATTGAACAGTCACTTAATTGTTAATGTGAATTTTCTGTGATGAAATCTTAAGTTATCATTAC